ATCAACAAAAATTACCCTCAACTAACCATAAAGGCTTACTGGCAGTTGGGGGTGTTGGGTCGGAGTGGCCGATAATGAGTTGTACCCAGTTTCAGATTAGCATTCAAGTTAGAATTACCCACGTGAATATCAACTCCCTGTCACAGTGTTGGCAACTTTTACCCAATTATTATAATTGTTTCTTCCCAGTTGATAGATCTATATGAAAACACAGTAAAAATAAAAACTATCAAGTGACTCTGAATTCCTTTCCTATAAAATATAGTAGATATGATCCGATTTTGACACTTGGGACACCTTAGACAGAGAGCCGGACCGCATCTCGTGGCATGTAGCCAATCATCTCCGGAGATTAGCTAACATTGAAGGTGTCGCAGGTGTCCCTTAATCTCTAAAAATAAACCTACACCGAGCAGATCAATACACAGGCTTGGCCTCCTGTTGGGAATTGGGCCTAAGAGTTGCGACTGTCCCTCCAAAACAGGTGTTTTACTCGTGAGTAATTCATAATCTAAAATTATTTGCCACATCAACAGCTAAGGTCATTAGCGGCGAATACCTTGTCGGATTAAAATGATGAAATATTTAAGACGTTCTTCGCTCGTTTATCGCTTGTTTCGTGGGTAAACGATTCGAAAATAAAAGTATTCTACACCACAGTAGGCTGGAGAAGAGGAACCTTGATGGGAACATCAAAATTTGCGACTGACTACGGTACTTGACTACACGTGTATCTGCACACTCAAAGTCGAAAGTGAAAGAAATTATATGCATCGCAAGGCTTCCCCTTAAAAGATAACTATGAACATATATATATATACACATTTGTACATGTAAACGCATGCATGTAGTCCTGTACACGCTTATACACTAATATCCGCATGTTCACACACATTTACTCACGTTTACATATGTGTATGCATATATAAGTATATGTACACATGCTCACATATGCATATGGATGTGTATGTGTATATTTACTTTCACATGCATGAGTATACACATATGTTCATCCAGGAAAACACTACTTCAACAGCTGTGAGACAAGGAACAACCAGTTTCAATTAGCGGTCATGTTGTCTTGGGTATGGATTCAACTCTTTTCACGTCAGTCATTTGTTTGTTTGTTTAATTATTATGATTAGAGTGCATGCATTTTGATGTTTCATGAATGAAAAGTTGGAGAAAATGAATTTCAAATATTCTACTTGTCTGATTGTTCTTCAATATTTTTTCGAGATCTGGATGAAATGTCTAGGAACTCTAAATTGATTTGAATTTTGTAAAAATGAGGGATTTTTAAATTTTGCGCCCGTTTATTTTTAAATAGATTTTTGAAAACTGCATAAAGGTGTTCGTTTTTTTACCCCTATGTGACAAACCTCTTAACTTTTCGGGACAGACACCATAATGATGATCAGTAAACCAGTTGATGAAATTATAAGTGATCAGAATGAGAGATTTTAATAAAAACAAAATAAGCAAACAAAAACAAATATATATGTATTTTGTATAAATATACATATTGAGGAGAGAGAGAGAAGCCTTGGATACCCAACCTGCATACAACTCGTCCAACAACCTTCCTTGTCCTAACTGGTTATTGTAGGTATATTAGAAATTGGATATATCTGTACACTATATCCAAGATTAAAGCATCCTGGACACAAGTCAACTCTTTTCATTGAACCTATAAGATATGTGAACATACATGGCGCAGTGCAGTGTAGTTTTCCAATGTTGCCCAGTATTCAGTGTCCTAACATAGCATGTTAAATGTATCAGATATACTGTCACATGGTCCTCTCCGAGACGTCACGCCAGTGTCACACGTTTTTTATGATTGATTTCGGAGAGACCCGCACATTCATGTGCGGGTCTTCCACATTCTGTGAGTTTATGTCCGTAGTTTAAACTTATATATTAATACCTGCCAGGGCATACTCAACACACTATAATGCCACCTAAAGAGAAAAAATCTTCCATACCTTCTACCTCAGAAACTACTCCAACAGAATTTACTTCTGTTCTCCTGGTTTAAATGAAGCAACAAGAGGAGCAACGACAGCAGGTGGCGACTCAGCGCAGGCAGGACACAGATTTGATGACTCAGACTTTACAAGCTTTATTGTCATATCTGACATCAATATCTGTCTCCCTTCCCCAGACTTTATCAACGCCTAATGCATCGGCAATGACCCCAATGACACTACACACTGACAAAGGTCTCTACACCAACCACATCGGCAACGGCCCCTATAGATGTAATACAGTCACCTCAAAATCCCAGGTATTCCTCTTCTTACTCCGTGGAAAGCTCAGGTCATCGTGGCAGGACTTAATATGCAACATCAGCGTGTACAACTAGCATATTTACACCGTTGTCTTGATAGTGAGATGAAAGAAACATTTGTACACTCTCTTGGTGTCCCTACAGATTCTACAATGCCCATCAGTGACATCCTTCGTCTTATTGCCAGCCACATGAGATGACAAAGAA